CCGTCCTCTTGAGGAATGTAGACTACTCTGAGGAAAATATTTTTGTTGGTTTTTAATCCCTTCAAATCCCAAGGCAATCCCTGAAAGAGAAAGTCATTATAGCTGAAAATCAGACAAACGGGTTCAAATTCTGCCTGTGGTATACTTAATAGCTCTGTGATCTGGATTAAATAGCCACATTTCTTCGTAAGTTTCAGCCTCCTCATCTTTGAAATGAGGATCATAACACCTCTTTCGTAGGGCTTTTGGGGGAATTAAGTGATACAATAAGTTTGTGTGTTTAGCATAATGTCTGCACAAAGTAAACTCTCAACAAAGGTTTGTTGGATACTAAATATCCTGAAGGTGACAATGTCACCAAGGTCAGCACTTTGAGTCCTGCAATAAATCCTGTCTTTTCCGTATCTACCACGCACAGGGGAACTTGCTGGTACGAGACCACATACCACAGATCCTTCAAGCTTCTGGAAAGGGAATTGGGGTTCTTTTTCCAGACATCCAGTTTCTTCTTGACTCCTATCTTAAAAAAAACTTCAAGAGCACTGTGAACCCAGCAGAAGATATCTGAGAAGAGGGCATGTTTATATATCATTAAAAAAGGTGGAATGATTTCTAGGGAAAGATTAAAGACCTTGACTGGAGAAGGATGAGACTCTTAGTTCTACTCTGGGGAGACTTGGGGTGAGAAGGGTGTCAGCCGGCTGTGTTCTTATTTCCATTGCAGTTAACACAAAACAAAATGGACTTAAAGATAAAATTTGATTAGAAATAAGTAAGAACTTTTTGACAGGAAGGGATATTAGACAACTGCATAGGTATAAAATATCACCTGGAAAAACCTATGGTGAACAAAGATAACAGACCAAAAGATAACAGAGTTATCTTTATAAGTTATAACAGAGTTTTCCAAAAGCAATAGACACAATATTCTTTCTTGCACAAGATTCATATTGGCTTCATTCAAATACATCCAGAATTTTCCACCTTTAACAAATAGAGATGTCACATCATTAAAAAAAAAAAAAATGGTAAAAGGAAAATCAAGAGAAATTTAGTTGTAAGCCCTCTCCCTGATTGTTTATGGTGAGCTACCTATCTATGGGTTTTGCTCATTTTCATTCACCTGACAGCTATGTACCCAGCTAACCAGAAGCATGGTTCTAGTGGAAGTGTCAATAGATGGGGACACAAAGGTGAAAACTTAGCCTGATTCAAAGTTCTTTTCATGAGGAAAGGCACTACTTGATTCCAGCAGTTCTCCCCACCCATGTAACCAGTAATCCTAAAAAATACTACTGAACTCTGTGTACTTAACCTACGCTTGTCTGTGGTGGAAAGAGACGTAGGTGGTCTGCTTCCCAATGTAAGACACGGGAACACTCCGGTTATTGCTTTAACATATGAGCCCATTGGCACAAAGTCACCTTGAAAGGCCTTATGAAGTCTCTATTGGTTAGGTACTCTGTTCTGTGTTAACTCGGAGACAGGCACAGCGGGGACAATTGTAGCTCTGGCAGGAGACTAGTATAGAGTGGGCATCCTGAAGACACAAAAGCCATCCTGAAGACATAAAAGGAGCAAATTTGGGGCCACTAGCTGGAGAAATCTGAAAGAGAAAATACTTTTTATCCTTCCTTCCTTTTCCTGAAGTGTAAATATTAAGATGTAACATCTACTGGACACTTTTTATGAACCTGAACAGATTGATACTATTATTATTCCTATTTTCCAGATGAGGAAACCAAAGCTCAGAGAGATTAATCATAGCTGAGAAGTAGTATAAGATGTAGATAAGAATCTGGGCTTTGGACTACCTGGTTTTGATTTCTGGCTCCACCAGGCATTAGCCTAATGATCATGGATAAGGCCCTTGGTATTAAGCCCCAAGAGACTGTATAAAATGTGAAAAGTCAGGACTGAGTCCGTTTCATTCACTAATTGACCAGCCTGGAGCATAAAGGAGTCAGACCAAAACGATCTTCCAGCTGGACAGAGAGGTAAGAGTAGTTCAAGGTAAAGTGGATGAATGCTACAAACAGCCTGGACGACGGTCTACCAGTATGCTTATACCAGAGGGCACGATATATTTACTTCTGCACATCTCATCTGCTCCATTTTATCTCTGTCTCTTCCCTATCTCTAGAGAATTTATAATCATTACTCACTGAGGTAAACGCAATCTGGCTTAGAATTCTCAGTCTGAAATTTCCTTGTATTTAATTTCCCATAGAACCCTAACTATGTAAGATACTACTTTTTCAGTGATCTGTCTGTAATTCTCAAATATATTTCTCTCTCCTTACCTGGTACTGGCTTAGCCCTTTAATATTCTGAGTTGTTCACACTTTAGTAACATTCATATATTTAATATAAGAATCTTAATCTTTTTATAAAATTTCTACTGACTCATCTATACTTTTCTGTTCCTCTGAATAATTTCTTATGTTTTGAAACCAATTCATCAAGCAAATGACTTCAAGGACAGAGGGTAATCAATTATCACATACTAGCTAGTTTTAGAATCTTCCAGTTTTTGGAAAGCAACTGGGAGACCAGCAAGGGGAAACTTAATAGAGGAAGAAAGAAATGAAGGGTCGGTTAGCAATATTCACAGATGACTGAATAAAATACAGAGACTTGACTTCAAATATGAAGGTAATGAGAAAGGAAATGTTTATTCTATTCTCTAACATTTAATGAACACCTTCTATGTCCTGGGTCCCGTGTAAGTTGCTGTGGATATATAGCCACGTCCAATCCTTAAAGAACTGATAGTCTAGTGCAAAGTTTCTCACCTTTGCACTACTGATATTTTGGGTAGGATGATTCATTGTTGTTTGGGGCAGGGGGCAGGGGGGAGAATGCTGTTCTGTGTAGTGTAGAATGTTTAGCAGCATCCCTGGCCTCTACCCACTAGATGAAATAGCTTTCTGCCTCTCTTCTCAGTTGTGACAAACAAAAATATCTCCAGATGTTCCAAAGAACCCTGGGAGAAAATTGCCCCCAACTTGAGGACCTCTAGTTTAGGGAAAGAAAATCATTTCTCTATATACTGTAATAAGTATAATCATCAGAACTTTGAGAGTAAAAAAGAGAGCTCCTTAGTTCTGGAGGAAGGTGGGAGAGGATTCACAGAATAAATGACATTTAATGCTTAATTTTTTTGAAAAATATTTAGTAGTAGGCCAAGCAGACAAGAAAAGGGAGAGTTTTGGACATAGGGAAGGAGAAAGAATGAGAGAGATAGAATGAGGAGGAGAAGAATGAACAGAGAAAGACCATTCTGGTAGAGATAAGAGGATGAATAAAGACCTGAAGAAAGAGAGACCACAGAGTGTACGGGCCATGATGAATGGTTTGCATGGGGAAGAATTAGAAATAAGGCTGGGACCAAGCCATGTCACATAGGAAAGGAGAAATCTTAATATGATAAATATATATTTAAACACAGTGGAGCCCTTTCTCAAACAAAATATAACCCAGATCCCAGCCATTACACTGACCAAAATGAAATTTCTTTGATTAGATCATGGTCCACCCAGTTTTCCCTTAGCTTCTAAAGCACCTCTGTGGAACCCCTACAACTCTGGGAAACATAGTAGAAAAATCACTTTGGTAGGCAATAGGGCACAACTGAAGGATATTAAGTGCAGACTATATATTCATATTTGCTTTTTGGAAAAAGCACTCTAGTGGCAGAGCTGAATATGGAGGGACAAGGGGGAAAGTCAAAAGGCATGGCGACTAGTCAGCATTTTATATGTGGGTTTCGCTTGGAGACCAGTTGTCAGCTACAATATGTAGGGAAAAGCACATTGGCTTTGGAGTTATACACATCTAGCTTCAAAGTCCAGGTGTCATTAACTATGACCTTATGTATGCTAGCTGACCTTGCCAACCTCTATTTACTTCTATAAAATGGGACTGCCTACCTCACTTGGCTGCTACAAGAAAATATATGTACATAGAAGTCAGGTGCTGGCATATGATGAGCACTGAGCAAATATAAAAGTGCATTTTCTTCTTTCACTAGGTCTTTTTATTATTAAGCTCCTGAAGCTTCTCTGATCTTAAGTAACTCTGAGAGTGGGAGGGGAGCTTTACTTGCTCCTTGTTAATGGATTTTCTACTCGTAGAATGGACACATTAATTCTGTTTTTAAAAAGAGTTTTTCTTTTTGGAGTGACCTATTATCATGAGCCACATGCTAACAGAAGACGTCCAGAATTTGACTTCTTACTTTCGGATCTGTCAGGATGTCTCAAAAGGGAGAAATCAAAACAAGAATGGTCAAAACACAAGCATTGTGTATACCTGTCTGGTTCTGAGACTGTGTCTCTGACCATCCTGAGTTTAGCAGAGTTTGTGTCAGTTTCATGGTTAGGAAGTCAGCAGCTAAAAACTCCATCCATATGCAGATCTTTTAGGAGATGCAAGTGGTATTGGGATCACAGTCCATGTTTTATATACAAGAATACTTTTACTCCTTACCATCCTGTGTAAATACTTCTTTAGTTGTGAATGTTTACACACCTTTTGGAGAAAACAATCTTTATTTTCAGAGATCTGATCTGTTTTCTCCTTGTCTCATTGTTTATCATCACAGTAAATATATACTGTCAGTGAAGAGCAATGTCCATTGCAACAAGTTGGAAGGTATAGGTCTAGGGGGTATAACTGGGTGGAGAATTGATGCCCGATTAGGAAGAGTTGAGGTGAAGTGTTTTAAGATTACAGACAGTGTAACTCAGTGGATTATGCCAGAAGTCTTACAGAAGCAGACCCATTTATACTTTAGACGTTGAGGTGATTAACACAAGCCTTTTGGTACTCTTCAGGCAGTCTTCATCCCTCTGCACCTATGACAGAGTCTCTGTCTTTCCTCATGACTGCAGCTTTCCTGGACTCTACACTTTCCCTCTCCAGTGCAGAATTCAGCATCATATCCAACCCCTGTCCAATCTGAGACTCTAATACGATGAAGAACTCTGCCATCTTACCTCTGAACTAAGGTCCCAAATACAAGATGAAGAACTTTCTGAATGTTTTCTGTACATAGCCATCTCCACTGTTCCATCAGCAGCAAGAGGAGCAGATCTAGGGCTGTGTCAGCTAGCTCTGTCTCTGCTCCTGGGGAATGAAAAGGCATCAAAAGTAACTCAGGGGGTACTTGGGTGGCTCAGTGGGTTAAAAACTCTGCCTTCAGCTCGGGTCATGATCCCACAATCCTGGAATCGAGCCCCGCATCGGGCTCCTGCTCAGCAGGGAAGCTGGTTCCCCCTTTTTCTCTCTGCCTGCCTCTCTGCCTACTTGTGATCTCTGTCTCTCAAATAAAAAAAATCTTAAAAAAAAAAAAAAAAAAAAAAAAAGTAACTCAGAAGAGACCCATTCTGGAGGAACATATTTCAATGCACCGGGTCTTCACCGTTTTATCAATCATCTTGTATTTCTGTAATTCTTCTGTACTCAAATCAAGAGATGGTTTATTTTATATCTAAGAAGTTCAGTGACAGGCTCTGTATTTCTTTATAATTCTTTGTTTATATTCCTTAGTCACTCAGTAATATTTATCTTTCTAAAAGATTTTGCACATAATTATTTTGCCTATCTAGCTTCTGTTTCTTTTGTACTTCCCCAGCAGGAACTGAATACATTCTATTCCAAGTAACTGCTCCCAAATAATGACTAACTGAAACTGGCAAGGTCCAGTCTCTTCCATTCTTATATTCCACTGGCCTCCACAAAGCATCATAGAAATGTTGTGGGCAACAGATTTGGGGAAAGTTTTGGGATTCATTCCCCTGTAAACAAGTTGCTTTGAAAGTATCTCCATTACACAGAGCTACTGGGTTGGGATCCAGAAGGCTTTAGTTTTTGGTTTTGAGGTAACAAGTGGTTTGAGGAAGAACACTCCACCTTTGGTAACATATGCCATAACAATGACTGATTTCTTTCCTCTCTCAAAGACTGGAAAGACCACAAGTGACTTCACACCCATGCTAAGCTGAAGTCTCCTGAACAGATGTACTTTATGGATGGAAGCATCCGTTCTTTAACCCCTTTCAGGGGGCCCCATGTCATCTGTGATTTGCTTCCTAGGAGATGTCCCCTGGAATACATAATGTTCCAGAATGAATCTCAGCAATCTGGTGCTACTGCTGTGATTAATATCATAATTAATCATCAACAATAATTTTGTTAGTCTAGGACCAAAGGGTATTGTCTCAGCCAGCTTGCCCAAGCTCTCTTCCCTGAAGGGCTCTTTAGGACATTAATAACTTCAGATTTGGATGAATCTTTGAGAACCAAATCCTACTTTTTTCTTAATCCCATCTAATATCTCTCTCTCTCTCTCTCTCCCTCTATATATACATATACATATATATATATATATAATTATTATTATTTTTTTTTCTGCACTGCATTTCAAGGGAGCATGGGAACTGGTATGTTTATTTCCAGTCATTTCTCAAAGACAGGATATTCAGTTCCTTGGGAAACAGTACCATGCAGAGCATTAGCCACCCTTCTGGATTTTATGATTTTCTCAGGTTTAGCATTTACCTAGAGCTGCCACCATGTGGTGACAGCCTGTCATAGCAGTAAAAAATAAGAAAGGAAACAGAGGGAAGAGAAAGAGTCCTCTGGAAGAAAACGCTGTTTCGCACCATGTGAGCATTTTGTTTCTCAGGACTAGAAGAAAACCTCACACATAAACTATACCCTTAGAGATATGATATTCAAAATTTACAGGCTTGACTTTCTCTTATTTTTAACTTCCTACAGCTCTCTGATGCTTTTGCTGTTTTAACACTTCATTTACTTAACCAGTGAGATATGTGGGTTTTTTCACACAGTTAAGCTGAGGTCCATAAAGCAGAGGTCAGGTGACTGTTCAAGTACACTTGAGAAACAATGCTGAAATCAGTTTTTTTCTCCCCTCTTTCCCCCAGGATTTTATGATCTTTTCTTTTTAGTGGGAGACTATCTTAGTGGAACTGAAAACTTATTTTTATAAGTTCTAGCTCAGCAAACATACTAATACCCAAGGCTCCCAAGTCTTCCTCTGTAAAAAAAAAACCTGCATTTTTTTTTTGAGAAGCAAATCTCCCTGTCCTCACCTCTTCTCCCTTCCTGCTCTATGCTGGGGAACCGGGTGGCGTCATTTGTTATGGTAGTAAATAAAACAGAAGGAAAAGATCCAGGGAAAAGGGAGAATTCCATCTTGAGCTTCAGTTGCTCTATGGTACATCAAAGTGGAGATTTCTGGTAAGCAAGTGGAAATATGACATCTAGTATTTCGGACTCGTCAGCACATGTTAGACTTAAAATCAAGAGTACAAATGAGATCACTCAGGGGGAGTATACAGAGTAAGAAGAGAGAGCCAAAAATAAAGTTCTGGAAGGCTACTAAGGGAACCAACAAAGGGGACTGAGAAGAGATCACAAGAGAGGTAGAAAGAAAACCAGGAAAGGGGTACCAAAGACACAAAAGAAAGTTCGTAGGTCAAGGGAGTCCAAAGATGCCAAACCATGGCAAAAATAACAAGATAATATTATAATCATGGATCTTATTTTGCTGGACCAGAACTCCCTGTTTTTGTCCCCTGCTCCTGTTTGACTCAGCTCTGGGGACTGTGTCAAATTCTTCTTTGTATCCCAGGACTCAGCACAGTCCCTCAAACACCGGTGTTTAACACATGGCTTGCTTATCTGAACACAAAAGAAATTACATCAATGAATCCTGACTGTCACACCCTGCCTCCCTTCTCTGTGGGAACAGAGATCTTGTCACGTACCTGGATCACCACTACGGAGATCGTGGGTGGGCACAGCTGCATCAGACAAGTAACCATCCATACAACCTTTAGGGATTTGTTCTGGATCTTTTCCTGGGGCTTCTGCTGGCTGCATTTCTAATAACTTTGTCTGTTTTTCAATAAAGGATTCCATCACAGACGTGGATAGGATTTCTGACTCCTGAAGAAAGTGCCAGTGTCGTATCACATAAAGAATGAAGAAAATAGGAGAGTAACCACAGCCTTTCAGCTTCTTCCTATTCCTTCCCTGCACTAAGTTTCATGAGTATAGAACCCAACTAACTCTGTGGCCACCTTTGGAAACTTTTCACTTTCTACCTAAATCCCAAGTAAAACAATGCCTTTGTATTCTCATTCACTGCAAATACATTTGGGTCCTTTATTCTCTCCCAGGAACTGGCCTTCCTTTTCATTCTGCCATCTTTTATTATAAGCCCATGACCCTTGAGTTTAGAATAAAAACTAGAGATCTAGATGCTGGTTAAGTCCTTTAGCAAGGCACCTTTATCTCTCCTGACTTTGGAGAATGTAACTGCAGGATCAACATCCCAGCTATTAATTCCAGGAGTTATCTAGGAACTTCTTACCACATTGCCTTCCTGGAGACCATAGAGAATCTTCTCAGGTACCTCAGTGATATTCAGTGCTGGAGCAATCTTACTGGAGGAGAACCTCAATCTGGACCTGGTATTGACACAAAAGAGCAGAAACAACATAATTTATGGCTTTGATCTCCAAACAAAGGGCTGACAAGTATTAATACCTTAAAACAAGAACACCCATACTTATTCTTGGGAGCTTACTATGATCAGAGTTGCCAGGAGAGACCTGGTCCTGAAATTCCCAAAATGATATACATTCTGGCAGTTCTTAATACATAGCGCAACCACTGCACTAAGCTATGTCCACAATGCATTTGTGAAAAGGCTTTTGCTAATGTAAAATAGGGGCCAGCTATCCTGGTTGTATTCCCACAAGCTAAAAAATGGCTAGCATATACTATCTACTCATTAAAAATTTGTTGGAGATTAAATTGACAAGTGGCATAAACCAAAATTTTTGTTGCCGTTGTTCGTGCCCTTTTCATACATCCACTTACTCTCCCAGTGTTCCAAATAAAAGTAGGGAAGGACCACAAGTGCTAACCTCATATTTCAAGGCTCTTATAAGCACAGATATCACAGTCATCCTTCAAAATATGGGCTCAGTTAAAAAAGGCTAAAAACTGTTATTGCTGGTCCATGAGACACGAACATAGATAAAGAGAGTCAGGCAGACATACAGAAACAGACATACAAACTCTCCACCCTTCCCTCTCCCTCCTCCAACACACGCACACACACACACACATTCTCTTTCACTCACTCACTCACTCACTCTTTCTCTTCATAATGGTCCAGGTACAGATATGAAGTCTGCAGTCAGGGGTAAGTGTGATGCCCTTCCCTTCCACATGTTGGTTTTGGAAGGGTAAATGTGGGACCCTAGTGCAGGACAGAATAGCCTAAAATAGGCCCTATATGTGTCCATGCTGGCCCTTTCCTGTTTATTGCTAGTATGTGCATCTTCTGAGCTAAGATTTCCAGAAATGATGACAGAGATCAGTTATAAGTCTTAGTTCTTAATAGGAAAGAAACATCTCAATTTTCCAGGAAAATAGAAAAGGAGAACATCCATATTCTACAGTTTTCCTTCTAGTCAAAACTCCATGGTCAGTTTAAGCCCTGGGTTCCCATGGCAAGACAACCATTTAGCAGGGATACCTATGCTGGATCTCAGGCTCCTTTGGGATGAGCACTGAGGAGTGTGGGGTCTGGCTTTGTATAAAAACTGGTATGTATGACCCATCTCCTCTCTCCTAGGGCCAGAAAGTGGGGATAGACTTTGGCTGAGGACTGGCAATCATCCTGAGAATTGGAAAGGGTCCCCGCGTGACCGAAGGGCTTCTCACTTGCTGGGCTTCTTGCCTTCTGTCTGGGGCTTGGTTTCTGTCTCGGCCTCACTCAGCTCTTCTGTGGGGCTCTGGGGTTCGGAGCGAGGAAATGCTGTCTTCAGTGTATCCACGATAGCACTTACCACCATCTGCAGGGGTCAGAGGTGCAGGGTCAGACAGAAACCACCAAATGAGCAGTTGTCTCATGGTGCTTTATGCAATGAAGATGAGCAGATAGCCGGGCTAGCTAGTGGAGCCTTTTCATCAGCATAGTCAGATACCAGACAGATTTCCTGGCAACTATCCCCCCTTTTCTCGGTGGCCATAAAAATCTGCTTCCTCACAGAGTTAAGACAAACAATGCCATGGGAAAAGAAGCCAAAACAAACAATGAGATAAATAAAAAGCTGGGAGTTCTGCAGGCGGGTGAAATACTTTTCATTTTTCAATTTCTTTTCTTGCATATGAAGAAATGATTTTTAGTTTCCAAATCAATAATACTTTCACTAAGATATGAATAAATGGAAGTGATATAGGTAGGAATATATGGAAAAGAGAAAGAGTAAAGATTATCAAATAAGAAATACGTTCTAGAAGCATATATAATATTAACATGCTCAGAGTAATTCACAGAGTAAAGAACTGTTTTTTTCAGTTAATTCACACAATTTCTCTTCTTTACAGAAAGAGTAACAAAAATTACTCATGTCAAAATTAAGGAATAATTGATAAGAGTTGATATAAACTAGTCGTAAAGACCAAATAAAACAATCCTCACTGAAGAGCAAGAGTTGTGTATATTTTTCAGAATGGAAAAACGGCACATAGATATGTGCTAAAAAGGAAAATTCACGAATGAAACCCTAAAATACCAAAGAAGTAAAAAGAAATCTTTACTTTTCCTTCGGTGCTCCTTGCTAATTAACACTGCTGGCTTCCAGCAGCATCACGCCTTCCTTAATTCATGCCTGTGTTTATCCTCTACAAAGAACATAGCTAGCACAGCTGAGACAAGGCTGAAGTGGTGGGGTAAGATGACGATAAAGCACAGGGGTAACAAACCAGGGAAAAAACAAGAGGACAGCATGAATAGATAATGCAGCTTAGAAAATTTAACTTGTTCTCAAGGCTTACAAAATTGTAGTTGTGGGGAGGGTTCTTAACTGCTCTGTTCACTCTTGTATCACCAGCAGTTAGTCCTGTTCATGGTCAAGCTCATACTTGACCAGGGAAGCAGTAAGTGGCTGGTAAGTCAGTGAGTGAACACATCTGTGTGGATGGACACATCCTCATGGAATTCTGGGAATTCTACTTCATCCCTCCCTTTTCAGTTTGCAGCTTTTTCTTCATAGCAATGAATGTCTCCTAATCCCTACCATGATATTCCACTTTTTCATTTTATCCCCTGAAATCTAGAGAGAGACCCACCTTCTGCAATGAGTCAGTGGTTTCTAACCTTTTTAAACACATGCCATTTTTGGATAAACATAAACTTCAGACTTGTGCCCTGGAGACTCTAAAATCAGCTGGTAATCACTGCTTACAGGATATAATGTGTTGTACACATGCCCTCCTCCTACCATCTCCAAAGGTTCTGAGCTAACCTCTTAAAAAAAGTATAATTCTTTCCATGCTCTGTTCTCCAACAGAGAGTCACCACACCAGTCTAAATCCAGCTTAGTGTCCTGTCTTGGGGCTCTTTTTCCTGAGTGACCAACACCAGGAATGATCCTTACCTCCAGGAGACTTTTCTGCCACCACCGATTTATGGAGGTACAGATCTATCCTTAACTTCCTCCACTGAATAACAATGTCATAATATTGCCTTGGAGATGTGTGTACATATATAGTGTCATAGTTGCCCACTATAATTCAGCAAAGTGATGGTCCAACCAATATATGCAACAGGTCTTAAAAATTCTCATCCACGTTCCATGGACTCCTCTCTGCTGTCTCTCCCCACCCCCAAAACTCCTTTATTTTTTAATCCTTGCATACACTCTGGTGAGAAACTAAAGCTGAGCACAGTGGCCCTGCTGGTACCTTGTCTATTCTGGACACCATGAATGGTTTCTTGACAAAGGCAATACGAGCATCTGTGTTCAGAGCAAGGAACTCCTGCATCTCCTCAGTGTTAGCGATCTCTGGAATGGCACAGAGTTGCTGCAAAAGACACAAGAAGGATTTCAAAGAGAAATTCTGGTCCCCAGGTCTTTCCAGGTTGGCTTGGAAATGAGAATGAGAACACAGCCAAAACAGAAGGATGCTGACCTTTAGAAAGGATTCCAGGAGGCTCTTTCGGGCTTCTACTCTGTCACTATCCATGTTGCCAAATGGAAGATCCGGAAAGAGCTTTTTAGGACCCTTCACGTCTTAAAAAAACAAAAACACAAACTCATTCACTTAACATTTACTGAGAGATATTCCATATAAGATACATACATAAGATACATAAGAAAACAGAATGGTTGAATATATTCCTAATATTTTATTTTGTTTTTTTTATTTAGGGAGTTCCAAATATATCCAAAGGATATAGTACATACAGTCTACTCTTGTTATCAGCATTCAGGATAAGGTAGAGGAAGCCTTATGCCTCAGGAGTTACAAATGAGGGCCCTAAAGTCCAGCTGCCCAAGTTTAAATTTTAGCTCCAATCCCTACTATGAGAATGACCTTCAGCAAGTTGCCTAATCCTTCTTTGACTTTTCTCTCTGTAAAGTGGGGATAATGACAGTTATCTATCCCATAAGCTGTTCAGAGAATTAAGTGAGCTAATATGTGTAAAGTACTTAGAAGAGAACCTGGTAAAAGTTTTCAAGCTCAGTTCAGTGGTAACTATTATTATTAAGAAAGAAAATGCAGGGACGCCTGGGTGGCTCAATGGGTTAAAGCCTCTGCCTTCGGATCCAGTCATGATCCTGAGGTCCTGGGATCAAGCCCTCCATCGGGCTCTCTGCTCAGCAGGGAGCCTGCTTCCCTTCCTCTCTCTCTCTCTGCGTGCCTCTTTGCCTACTTCTGATCTCTGTCTAGCAAATAAATAAATAAAATCTTAAAAAAAAACAAAAAGAAAGAAATAAAATGCATTACTGAAATCCCCAACTTATGCCTAAACTTATTAAAAGGTTTATTTGGGTAATCATCAGTTTTGTAGGTTTTTTTTTGTTTGTTTGTTTTGTTTTGTTTTTTTAACAAAGTAGCTGGCTTACTAGCTTATTTTTAGAGTAAATTTTATTACATTTTCTTACTGTTTCTGTGCCTTATGGGTGTCAAATAGCAAACACACAAAAAGCCTGGTTGTTAAAGGAAGGATGGCAAGTATTTCTGGATACTATTTTAATATTTAAGAGCAATCCATGTCTGCATGCATGTGGAAAAGTTGATTTAACTCCTTACGCTACCTCACGGACACACGTAGAAATGTGAAAGTTTCTTAAGCTTAAACTAGATGGGCCACAGAACAAAGCATTAAATGGCAAAGAAGTGCCTCAGAAAGAGTGTGGTCAGTGCTATCCAGCACTAAAACCCAAAACATATGAAAGCAAACTGGCAGAACACAGGCCCCTTGTTGCTGTGTTCTCCTCCTCTATCCCTCCTCACAAACTAATAGGCCTCCAGCCTCTCAGATCAGGGGGCTAGATGTGTAAAGCAAGCAGGCAGTCTGGGCTGGGGAAACTCCTGACTTTTGATGAACTTTCGGAGATCTGATTTCTCCTCCAGACGAGTCTGTAGATTCAGGAACTCGCGGTAGCGGCGATTCACAGTGTGGTAGGCCACCTGCTGCAGGCCACTGCTGTTCTCACCATCCAGGGCCGTCTCATACTGTTGAATGAACACATTTGTTTAGGGCATCAGCTCAATGGCCACAAAGTAAGAGCACAGTAGAGGTAAAGGGAGGGAAAAGTTTCTATTCTCTTTATTTCTTCCTTTTCTTTTTAAAAATTTATTTGACAGAGAGCGACTCATACACAAGTAGGCAGAGTGGCAGGCAGAGGGAGAAGCATAATCCCACTAGGCAGGGGCTCAATCCCAGAACCCTGGAATCATGACCTGATCCAAAGGCAGAAGCTTAACTGTTACTGAGCCACCCAAGTGCCCCATTTCTGAACCTACTAGATCCGACTGCTGCTCTGAGTTGCAATAAATAACTTGAATTCCCAGGATAGCTGAATTAAGGAATGAGATGTGCTCCCTAACATATGTGGCCCAGAAAGAGAAATGAGTTTTGCTATTCTCCATTCCCTCTTTCCCCCTCAAAACCCCTTCCTACAAACACTTTCTTTACTTATAAAACAGCTATAAGGCTCCTGGGTGGCACAGGCAGTTAAGGGTCCGACTCTTGGTTTCAGCTCAGGTTTTGACCTCACAGCCATTGGATCGAGTCCTGCGTCAGGCTCCACGCTTGGAGTGAATTCTGCTTGTGATGGTCTCTCCCTCTCCCTCTGCTCCACCCACTTATCTTTCTCTCTCTGAAATAAATAAATCTTTTAAAAAAATGGCTATATTAATATTTTTCGAATCTCAAAGAGTATAAGACAGAAGGTACAAGAGCACCTCTTTCACTCCTAAATTATAGGTTGGACATTATAAAAGGATAACCATTTGCCATTATACTTGACCAGTGATTATTTATGTTAGTTAGGGGAAAGAACAAATAATCCAAAACAGCTGATGAATAAAATCACTTGTTTGCCTGGAATGCATTAGAGGAACATGTGTTTTTGTTTTGCTTTGGGCAGATTAATTATTATTCTTGGAGCTAATTTTTTTTTTTTCCCTAAGCACATATCATCTGTATGATTGGAAGTCACATGAATACTGGAGATGTTGTAAGGGGTCAAAGTTCCCTGTCTTCATATGTGTGGAGGGCCAGTATGTGGGAAAAGAGAACTCGTACTGAATGTTCCCCCAGAGCAAACACCCTGAGCAGCATGAAAGGTGCAACTCAGTGCAGGGTAGACTTTTTGACAGAGTAGTTAAGATATAATGAAATGATGTGCAAGAACTATGTATGTACTTGTTCTCATTAGGGGTAGGTTACCATTATTGTTTGGAGGAGGTATTATATTGTGGGACAAGTGATGGAGCAAATGATCTCTTTGTTGGTGGGGTTTAAGACTGTATTAAAATTTTCTAGAGTCAGAGCGAAGTATTCATCATGAACTGACATAAGCAAAGTAGTAGTCCCTCAGACCAGCACGGCAAAGGAAAGGCCTGGGTAAGAGACCCAGACAGAATTCAGGGTGGGGCTCTCAATCCTGGAGCACCTGGGAGCTTCTGTGGAAAGGTCTGCTCCCTGAGTGACACTAACAACACACATATATTTCCAAACCTGGCTACTTCTTAAAAATCAGTTGGGCTTCTTTTTAAATAGATTCCGATAGGCTCTGATAGAGCTGAATGAGAATTTACAAAAATACCCTCTTCTGGTGAATGGGAGGCAGTCTACCCTAACGCATTTCAGGGAGCCGCTGCTGTAACTGAATTCACCATCTAATACATGAACCCCTTCGTATCATCTCTGCCAAGTAGTTCCTACTTCTGTGCTTAAACACCTCTGGGAATGAGGAAGCTGTTACACCTTCTGAGACGTTGTATGTATATAAGTATATATATATTTCCTAAACAAAGTACAAAAGATACTAGTAATTAAAAAAGGAAAAAAAGAAATTAACAGGGAGGTTCGGAAAGAGAATTTCTGGACAAGCCTCTATATTGGAACCACTGAAAAATATGAGCCTCAGTATCCTAAGAACCCTGAGATTCTAGGATTGTTTGCATAGATACTAAAGATACCAACTAAAGATACCAACTCTGCTTTACAAATGATCTTCAGACCATTCACATATAGACTGCTGAATTGAACATAGTAAATGAAGAGTAGCCTCTCTCCTTCAGAACACTAGCTTCATTGGCTCTGCTCTCCAAACCCATTCCCAGCCCAGAGTGGGTGACCGACCGTAATTCTAATCCTGTTACCTTCACTGTGTAGAGTGTGTATGGGTGGAATCCAGTGCCACTGTGCTCTCGAGCAGTAATGGTACCAGTGATACGAAGGTTCTGGATGACAACTGGGCCATCTGGACTGCTCAGGGGCTCAAAGCTGAAGGTGGCTGAGGTGAGAGGACCGGTTGGAGAAGAGGAAAGCAGAACCTGTGGCAGACTAGGATCCACAGAGCTCACGTCATTGGTGAGATCCTTCTCTAAGCCTGAGGGTCGTGGGAGGCAGGTCCTTTCTGGATCTGTCAGCAAAGCTGTAAGAGAGGTGACATCTCCTTGTTCCACTTCCTTGTCTGCTGTGTCAATGTGGATCTCTGGGCAGGAAGTCAGCATGGAGACTAGCAGCCCTGTCTCTGTTTCTGTTCTTGGACCCTCCTCGGGCTCTGCTCCCTCAATTCCTTCAGATCCCTCAATATCCTTAGACTCCAGAGACTGGGGACCCTCCAGGGCACACAGGGCATCCTGGATCCTGTCAGAGAGGAAGTTGCCTGGGGTCATGAGCATGATGGTTTCCTTGCTCAGCTCGGACAATGGAGACTCCAGCTCTGTGTCTTCACATAAAAACAAAGGGCCTCGAATATCTGGCTGCAGGAAATGAGATGAGTTGTTTCCTATTTTTCTCTCTTCTGGCATGCCACCCAGTTCTCCCTCTATTGCTTCACGGCCTTCTTCAACTTCTGGGGAGTGGTGGGAAGGCCCATCTGGCTCACTACAGTTTAGTAGCACTGGCGCTGCTGCTGGAGAAGGGGCTCTCACTTCCGGGAGGCTCTGTACCTCAACAATCAGTGGCAGAGATGTGGGCACTGAGGGCTTTTCCAGGGCACTGGCTGGGGAAGTCGATTTAACCACCGCTGTCGGATTATTTCTGGCCTTGGAAAAGATGCCCACAAGTACAAGGTGGATCCAGTCAGGATCTGACAGCCTGCTGATCAGTGGTAAGATTACATTGCAAGTAATGAGTTCTACCACGACATGGCGACCGGTCCGGGTCTCCAAGTGGGGCTTTGGCACTAGTCCTTGAAGCAACAAATTTACAATGCCACGTGTATAGGTGACCTCAGTGGTGACGCTCTGTACAGCAGGATGTGGGGCAGCAGCTCGGCAGTAAGCCTCCCAGAGCTGGGAGGGCTCAACGGTACCACTCTGCTTCCCAGCCAGGGCTTCCTTCGCCTGAATATAGCTCTGCAGGTGACAACCGCAGAGAGTCAGAACCCTCTGTGCAAGAGCATGACTGTCCACCATGCCCATCCTCCTCCGGAGCTCCTGGACCAACCCTCTCATGGCAGCCTCCATTTCTTCCTCAAAGGCTGGCTCCTGGCTCACAGTGCGATACCACGATGACACAAAGTCCCGCATAATCATCTGGATGGTGCGGTCGATCTCCTGTTCCAGTTGCCTCTCTGCCTCAGGGTTTGGAGGGCAGGTGGCCACTGGGATGAAGCGTTCCAGGTGCAATCGACCTGAAGCCCCCACAATGGCATTTGAGCCCAGCCATCCTCCCAGCACCACTAGCAATGCGGACAAAAGGCATAGGAGCCACACATTGACCAGAAAGTGGATGACCAGGAGCCAGCCGAGCACAATCCCCACAACCATCAGCTTCCGGCTACTCAGCAGGTTATTGAGGTTCCAGCTCGACCCAGCTGGAGCCTCTTGTAACGAGGACACTGTCGCCGCCTCCATGGCTGAAAAGGGCAGATGGCTACCCAGACGGTCGATCGCCCTCTACTTCACCTGAGTTCGGGAATGGGGCGTTAACTGTACGGAGACAAGGCTATCTGGGTTGCTATTCAGGGACCGGGGCAGGACTCTGGGTCCTCGGAGTCCTACACGCACTGCAAAGCCACAGAGGCAGCTGCGCTTCTCCCCCTCGCTCCAGCCCCTTCCAGCGGAGACGCCGCTCTCGGAGACTCCGAGGCCTTCATAATGCAGAGGTCGGAGAACCTCTGCACTGCCTGGGGAGGGCGGGGCAGGGCCTACGGCGCCCCTCACCCAACACTTACAGACGCCGAACACCGGGTCATACACCGCTGGGGGGGTCGCGCCCGGACCGAACCCCGATTTGTAGGGGACACAACAGTGTCTTCGCCGCCGCCCTCTGAGGAACTCTCCCCCAGGCTCGGTTCCCCGGGCGACTGCAATCAGCCGCCGGGTTTCTGTCACGGCTGCCGGCCGGCGGCTGCCGGCGACAACTTCCGGGTCGACGTCGGCAGAGCGGGGCATGCTGGGAGAACGGCCGCGCGCCCCCACGAGCGGCGCTGCGCGCGGCTCCCCCTGGTGGTGAGGATCGGCCGTGACACCACCAGCGGAAAGTGGTCTCCCAAACTCTTGCTTGAAGAAGCTGTGCTGAAGGGTGGGCTAAGTTCCCAAAGCCGTGTGGAGCACAGAGCGGCATTGCAGGCAGTAACCCTCGAAGACTGAGACTTCTAGTTTTATTAAATGGAGTCGGCCAGCATTTTTTACTGTTTAGGCAAACTCTCAGTAATCCAGTTTGTTTTAATCCCATGCGGGCATTTTTTTTATTGGCTTGATACATTTTAACATTTACCCCGCTCCCTCCTGGGGCCCCCCTGCAGCCCCCAATACACAGCTCGTGTACCTTGTTCTCAGGAATTGCAGAACACAAGGCGTACAAAGTTTATACAGAGATAGATTTTTTCCTTATATTTCACATACTCTGTAACAAAATCATATTTGGGACTTGGGGGTTATTTGCTGGTAGCATTACCCAAGCAATCAGATACCTTGAACATCTGCTGTATTCAATCACTGTGAATAGGTAATGTGGACGAATTGAGCAGTCCTTGTCCTCAAGGACCTGGCAGGTAGGGGCGCCTAGGTGGCTCAGTGGGTTGAGCAGCTGCCTTCAGCTCAGGTCATGATCCCAGGATCTTGGGATCCAGTCCCCGCATTCGGCTACCTGCTTCTCGGACAGCCTGCTTCTCCTTCTTCCTCTGCCTGCTGCTCTGCTTACTTGTGCTCTCTATTTCTTTGTCAAATAAATAAATAAAATCCTAAAACAAAACAAAACAAAACACAACAACAACAACAACAACACAGGACCTGGTAGCTCATTGGGGAGACAAGTTCCTGGATCATGAATGGGTAACTAATAACGCAAGTCAGTATGGTATATAGTAAAATGCAAAATCTTAGAGGTATTCAGGGAAAGGACAGATCACTGGGGCTTCCAGTGGTTTAGAGGGAACCTCACAGAGCAGGTAGTCTTTATGTTGGATCTTCAAGGGTGAGAGTTGGTTTCTAACCCCTTTCATGCTATCTTCCCCATTTCTCAAATAAATAGGAAAAGAAGGCAGAAGTAGAGATGTATTTTCAGACAGTCCTCAAATATATTTGCTTTGAAATCTACCCAGACAGAATTACCTACAGGAAGATCGAATACCTGACAGTAGAACTGACCGGTGTTAGAATGTGCCGGTGTCGTGTGAAGCCAGCTTTCTTCCCCATCTTGGTCCCCAGGAGCTCTGCTAGCAATGTGGCTATCCTTTTTATTTTGGCACAGGATGCATATAATTTGTATAAAGCTATTTATGATTACTCATCTTCAGCTTTCTCTATGATGTTAGCAGGGTTCATCATTATAGCCATTAGTTCCCAGAAGTTTAAAGGAACCTTCAGGCAAACTCCAACCAAAAACTGTGCCAACAAGAGGCAAACATATCGTAGCTTCTCTCATGCCTACTGTTGGGGCAACGATTTCTTTTGAATACAAAAGGAACCATCATTTAGACGTGAAGCATAGTTAATGCCTATCAATTCTAATACGAAGAGTTTGATTTAGGATCAGAATGTCCACGAAGCTGACTGGACACATCCCTGAGATGCCAGAATGTGGTCCAGTGTTTCCATGGTACAGACCACTTCACTGGTGTCTCCCTCCCACAAAAAAGGAATATAAGAAGTGGGTGCTGGTCCTTTGTCCTCCCAGACCATTTCATTGTCCTCAGTCAGAGGGACAGTTACATCGCAATGATGCTCTGGAGAAATATCCCTGCCATTTAACCAAGAACTAAAAGAAGTGGATGAGAGGGAGTCTAGTGTGATTCTGAAGATTTTCCTGTGATGGTTCAGAGAGAAAGTTTACTCTGCAGCATAATCTGGAGTGTTCAGGGCAGTAAGAAACTGACCTTGTAAGTGGGCACTGTGCCACCTGACCAGATGGTCTGGAGTACATAGGTAGCCAAGAGTGCCTTCCTGATTCTGAAGTGGATTTGATGAAATAGGACTCTCAGATGAACATGCCAGTGCACTTGTCATTTTGACTGGAATGAGTTTCTGCCTAGAGATCTGGGACCAGCCTGAGTCTCCAAACAGATTAATCACAGGGAGGAGGTGAGAGGCAGAACTGATGTTTGGTGATGGTCATGGTATGTATATGTGGTGGGAGGAAGCTTGTTGTCTGGCTATATCACTCACCATCTCACTAAGTCCTTCCTACTTTCCTTCTTACCATTTCTTAAAACATTATGGGCAAAGTGTTAGATGCATTAGAGATAATGAGACAAATAAGACACAGTAATTCACCTCAAGGGACTCGCAGTCTAGTTGAAAGAGAAAGACACATAAATCAATGTAACAAAACATTATCATAGGTGGTATGACAGTTGCAGTAGAAGAATGTATAATAAAATGGGAACATGAAGGAGGGTTGGTCAACCAGGGAATTGGGTGGTGTCAATAAAGTCTTCACAGAAAGTTGGAAAACATTGGAAAAAGATAAAGAAGTAAGTGAGTTATTTTAGGTGAATGGAGGATAGAGAGAGCAAGGGGAAGAGAGCAGGAAGGTCTGTTAGGAGAGGCCGAAGAGAGAAATAAGCAGGACAGTGAGAGCAAGGGGGAGGCACTCCAGCAAGGGGGCATGCTGGAGGCAGCTCATGCCACACCTCCATTTTCTTTCAAAAGCAGAGGTCAAGTAACTTCCTAAAGAGAGCAGTAGTGATGGAGCAGGTGACCTGGTTTGTAATTATTGCTCTGAGAAACAGAAGGAGCTCCTGAAGTTCATATAAAGAATAAAGAGGGACTGAGGACCTAGCTCGGGTTAGGACCTTGATGTCTTGATTTTGTTTTTGTTTTAAAGATTTTATTTATTTATTTGTCAGAGAGAGAGAGAGAGAGAGAGAGAGAGAGCAAGCACAGGCAGACAGAATGGCAGGCAGAGGCAGAGGGAGAAGCAGGCTCCCTGATGAGCAAGGAGCCCGATGCGGGACCCGATCCCAGGACCCCGGGACCACGACCCGAGCCGAAGGCAGCTGCCCAACCAACTGAGCCACCCAGGCGTCCCAGGACCTTGATGTCTTGAGAGGAGAGATATTAATATTTAAAATCACGGTGTCTGTGTATCTAAGAAAGAAAATGTAGCCAGAGAGAGAATATCAATTGTGAGAATAAGGTTAGTTGTACTGAAAGAAATGGAGTGAACCAGATGATTAAAAACTTGTGGTTAGAGATTGGTCTGTTAGAGCCTGTGCTAGTTTCCTATTGCTGCTCTGTCAGATTACCATAAACAGTGATTACAACAACATACGTTTTTTTTTTTCTCTCACAGTTCTGAAAGTCATAAATCTAAACCCACTTGGCAGGGATGTGTTCTTTCTGCAGGTTCTAAGGGAGAACTTGCTTTCTTGCCCTTTCCTGCCTGCCTTCTGTTGGTCATGGCCTTACGTTACATAGGCTTCTGCTCCTGTGGTCACTTCTCTCACTCTGACCCTTCTGCGTATTTCCTATAAAGACCCTTGTCATTATATTGAGCGCCCCCTCCCAGTAATCCAAGTTTATCTTCTGATCTCAACATTCTTAACTTAAGCACATCTGCAAAGGCTCTTTTGTCATAAAAGGTAACACAGTGGCAGGTTCTGGGGATTAGAATGTGGACATCTTTGGGGGTCGTTATTCCACTTACTACAGAGTCAAGATATCCAGATATGAAAATCTTTTTGTGACAGTGAAGGCTGGGTGTGGCCAAGTAATGAGTTACTGAAGTAGAATGTAGATAACATGCTAGGGCTGAGGAAGAAATTTTGAATCAGTCTTTGAGAAGGATGATCTACATGTCATTGAAAGTCACTGATGTTAGGGGAGTGAGGACTGGGATCTTGGTACAAATGTTCTCAGTAAATGAGGGGGATGATCGGAAGTTGGTGGATGATGTAATGAGGAGAGTAGATTGTGGTAATACCAAAATAGGAGCGGAGAATTTTTCGAAAGTTGGAAAACAGGCTTTGTGGGGAAACTGCCTTAGATTCAGTGTTGTAGAATAAATAGCCATCAGAGGGCAGTAGGGAGTATGGCATTTTTTTTTTAAATCTATTTATTTCTAAGATTTTTTATTTATTTATTTATTTATTTGACAGAGAGAGAGAGAGATCACAAGTAGGCAGAGAGGCAGGCAGAGAGAGAGAGAGAGAGAAGGAAGCAGGCTCCCCGCTAAGCAGAGAGTCCGAAGCAGAACTCGATCCCAAGACCCTGAGATCATGACCTGAGCCGAAGGCAGAGGCTTTAACCCACTGAGCCACCCAGGTGCTCGGGAGTATGGCATCTTAAGGGGAAATTGCATCTCCTGTATTCTTTCATTCATCCATTCATATATCTTCATCCAACAGGCATTTAAACTAGGTATTGGGAATTTAAAGACAGACTTTGTATGGCTGCTATTCTTAAAGGGTTCACAGTCTTGTACAAGAGGCAGGCACCAACACAATATTAAAAATGCTATAAAAGAAATATGTCAAAATATGGGAACACAGAGAATCTGGGAAAGTTTCACAGAAGAGGCGACAATTGAGTTAGCCTTGAAGGATGGGTTAAATTTCTTATGAAGACAAGAGGAACGCACCATTCTAGGAATAAAGAAAACATGAGGAACACCGAGAAATCTCCTGTATTAGTTTGCTAGAAACTCTTATAATAACATATCATAGACTGGGTGGTGTCTAATTTTCTAATATTTTATTTCTAATAAAATAGAAACTCATTTTCTCACAGTTCTAGAGGTCGAAAATCCAAGATTAAGATGTTGGCAGGGTTGGTTTCTCCTGAAGCTTCTCTCATTGGCTTGCAGATGACTGACATCTTGTTATGTCTTCACATGGTCTTTCCTTTTTGTCTGTGCCTCCCTGGTGTGTCTCTCTCTCTTTTAAAGACACCACGCATATAGGAT